TCGGTAGACCTGTTGAAGAAGTTCCAGTGTAATTAGTGTCTTTATTAGAAAACCAACCCAAATTTTACTTAAGAAAATAAAACATTTGCTTATATCACATTCTACAACGATTAAATCCACACAGTTGTTTTTACACCAAAATTATCACCAGTCTGATTTGTTCACTTTGATTACTTAAATTTGGATTTTTTATATAGATGCCTCTGACCTATCAGTTTCTGTGAGAAGGATTTTTTTCTTAGATGGTCACCACATTGAACATAATACAGTACTCCTTTAATAAAAAACAGAAATGTTGACATTTTATACATTTTAAAGCTTTAGGAAAACAATCCTGGATTGGTGCATTTTTGCAATCTCGGTGCAAAAGTCCTGCAGATAAAGTGAGACATATTAATCACAAGAAATGAAGGCAGTCCACCCTCAGGAACCACAGCAAGAGGCTGGAACATCTTATAGTGTAATTCAGAATCAGCTCGAGTCTTCTTAAAACATCGATTCGATTCTTGGGCTTAACTCCCAAGGTGTCTAAGTCAGTTGGTTAGGATTCTGGAATGAGAACTAGCATTTCTAGTGAGTCCCCAGGAAACACTAAGGGTGAAGGTCCAGGGATGAAACTCTTAGGTTTTCTGGGAAATAAGAGGTTGCCTTCCTCCCATAGGGCTGTAGACCTATAGACTTCAAGGGATAGAGGCTTGGTCTCTAACTGACATCCCTGAGTGTCTCTCTAATGATCAAAGCAGACAAATAAATAAAGAACAATAAGGCTACCATATTGAACATACTGTACATTCACTTTTTTTTCTCCTGAGGATTCTTAGGTTTTATATTCCTTCATATTATATATGAATGTAATGTAAAGAAACCTTATGTTTATGTAATATGTGTATTTTTATTTATTTTTCCTTTATATCACATTTTTGTAAGTCATATTAGTATCTGCAAACCAATAAAAAGAGCTCTTTTATTTTAAGAAAATTATATATAATTTGTTAAGACCCTTTTCTGGGTAGAAAAATGTTTCAAAATCACAAAAGGAGGGGTTTATACTGTCAAGTCCAAACACAGAGAGCTTGTGGCTTCAGGTCTACAGGTTCAGGTCCAGGTTAAAGGAGGCACAGAACACACACATTCACTGATCTAGGTCTCCAAAGGGCTTTTCTTCTTTCTAATAGAAGCCAGACATTCTTCTGCAAACGAAAAGACTAATACACCAGATTTTTTTTTTGCCATGTCATTCCGAAAGGCAAAAGGTCACCAGCATCCTATAATAGGGCATAACATTTGGCTGTGTACAAACCAGAATCAAAACCAAACATAGCCAAGAACCAGAAACAAAAGTAAAAATACAAAGTACAAAGTCAGGAAAACAGAAACAGTAGAGAAAAACAAACTCTGAAGATAAAGTCCTGTAGCCACTTGCCGTTCACTATGGGTGCCAAAAAACAGTGCCTGGGAGGTACATTTTTTAATTAGTTCAGGAAGATGTATCTACTTGAACAACTTGTTACTCCAGAATTGCCAAAGTCTTAATTTTCAAGAGTTAAAAACAAAGATTCTCAGGGCGCCTGGGTGGCCGGCTCGGGTCATGATCTCAGGGTCCTGGGATCGAGTCCCATATCGGGCTCTCTGCTCAGCAGGGAGCCTGCTTCCCCCTCTCTCTCTGCCTGCCTCTCTGCCTACTTGTGATCTGTCTCTGTCAAAGAAATAAATAAAATTTAAAAAGTTAAAAAAAAAAAAAACAAAGATTCTCAATAAAATGCAGTGAGTAACAGCTTACTGGTGGTAAGGCTGGTTATGCTATTTTTGACAGTATTTATTACAGGGACACAGACTGAAATATTCCAAGGGGCCAGGTAAACAATATAAATAAGGAACACAAGCATTTACATTATCTAGAAAGCGGTGGGCATGTAACAAACATACTTGAGGGCACATACTTTGTCTAAAGGTGGCAACCGTTGAAAATGTTGGCAAACTGTCACCCTGTGGGAATTCTTGCTTATTCCCGTCTTTTATATTTTTTTGACAGAAGCCATTAACGTGGATTTAAATGTGAATCTTCCCATTTTAAAGTGTTAGTAACTAATTCAGTTAAAAAGCAAAAAACTCTGTATAAGCCAAACAAAATTTATTTTCAGGTCAAAAATGGCCCAAGGGCCATCACTTTGCGACGTCTGCAGTAGATGCTACTTATGTAACATTATAGCAAAAGAAGAGTTTAACCAAAAGTTGTATTTTTGTTGGAAAGAAGGTTTTAAAAGATTTCTTTTTAAATTGTATACTTTCAGGTTTTTTTTTTATAAGAGTGACAAAACAGTATGCCCACCGCATATTTAACATGTATTTCCATTTTAAGTTCCATTTTTTGGTCCATTAAAAATACAGTTATTCACTTTCTGGAGATCTATGTCACAACAATGAATATTGTTACTACTGAACTATACATTTAAACATGGTTAAGATGGAAAATTTTATGTTTTTTTTTTTTTAAAGATTTTATGTATTTATTTGACAGAGAGATTGCAGGTAGGCAGAGAGGCAGGCAGAGAGAGAAGGGGAAGCAGGCTCCCCGCTGAGCGGAGAGCCCGATGCGGGGCTCGATCCCAGGACCCGGGATCATGACCTGAGCCAAAGGCAGAGGCTTTAACCCACTGAGTCACCCAGATGCCCCATAAAATTATGGCTTTTACCATATATTGCCACACACATGTATTATTGAATATTTAGTGAATTATATTAATAATTATATAATTATATTATACTATAATTATATAATATATAATATATATATTATAATAATAAATAAATAATAAATTAAATTCATTCATTTTAAACTGTCTTTGTAGGGCAGTATTGAATGTAACGGGGTGGGATGTGGGGGAAGCCTGGAGACAAGGAGATACTTAGACCGCTATAGCGGCCTTGTTGAAAGATCATGAGAGCTTGTTCAGGGAACTAAATTTACCAGTGGGAGTGGTGATCAATTTGAGAGACATTTCCGGAGCTGATCTGGGAGAATTAGATGAAAAACTGAATATGGGGCTTGAGGAGATAATAAAAAGATGAAGGTTTCTTTCTTAGTAACAGATTATACCAATAATTAAGATTAAGAAAAACAGATTCAAGGGAAGTTAGTTCCGTTTTAGACAAGCCATGGTATTTCAGGACTTGAAGGAAATCGAGAGGTCACCAAGTGCAACCACCTCATTTTACAGATGTGAAAGTCAAGGCCCCAAGAGATGAGGTGATACCTTTGATGTCACAGTTTAAATCAGAAGCAGGACTTTACATGTTCTAGACTCGAAGTTCCCCTTTCCTCCGCACACCCGGTGTCTGTTCTGACGCGGGCTTCCTCGGGTTCCGGGTGAGCATGTGCTGGTGTCCTCCCCAGGCTTCCGCCGTGTGTGAGTGAGGGGGGCCTGCACAGCTCCTCGGGGGACCGGGCCCCACGCCCTGCCTCTTGCTCTCTGAACTGCAGTTGGGCCCCTTCTCCTCGTCATAGGCTTCCTTCAGCTTGAGCTGCTTGGAGGACCTGTGAATGGAAGTGGTTTGTAGACCTCGGCGGTCTCCTGCCTGCAGGTCCGTGTGGTCCTGTCCGAGTCATAGGAGTTCAGAGGCAAGGCTGGGCTGCAGATGGAGATTTGTGAGGCAAGGACCATTTCCTGACACACTGTAAGGAATTGTGGATGTAAAAGTATATAATAGCTGAAGGGTTTCAACTTTATCTTACTAGAGGACCTCAAGCCCGGCTTTGTGTAGGAATCAGTAAGTCCCTGGGGGAGGACTGAAGTGTGTGTGTGTGTGTGTGTGTGTGTGTGTGTGTGTGTATACAATATATATATTTTAAGATTTCATTGATTTATTAGAGAGCACAAGCAGGAGGAGCTGCAGGCAGGCCGTGGGAGGAGAGCTCGAGGTGGGGCTCGATCTCAGGACCCTGAGATCATGACCTGAGCCAAAGGCAGACACTTAACTGAGCCACCCAGGTGCCCCCGAAGTATATTTTTTTTAAAGTTCCAGAGGTTTCATATGCACAGCTAAGAATGCTATAAGCAATGAAAAGTTATAGAAGGATTTGAAGCAAGAAAGTGAGATAATCAAATGTCTGTTTGAAAAGGTTTCTAGGGACACCTGGGTGGCTCAGTCAGTTAAGCGTCTGCATTCGGCTCAGGTTCTGATTCCAGGGTCTTGGGATCGTGCCCTGTGTTGGGCTCCTTGCTCAGTGGGGAGCCTGCTTCTCCCGCTGCGTGTCGCTGCCCCTGCTTGTGCTTGCTTGCTGTCTCTCAGTCTGTCCCTCTGACAGATAAATAAAATATTTAAAAATAAAAATAAACAGGAGGGCTCCAGAGTGGCTCAGTCAGTTGGGCATCAGACTCTTGATCTCAGCTCAAGTCATGATCTCAGGGTCATGAGTTTAAGCTCCATATTGGGCTCCATGCTGGGGTGGAGACTACTTAAAAAATAAAATGAAATTTAAAAAGGTAATGCTAGCTTAAATGGGTGGTAAGAGAGACTTGCAAAAGTCCAGGCAAGAGATGATAATTTTTAATGACACTATATTTCATGAGTTAATTTTCATAATAATTCTTTATCTTACAGCACGTGTTTCTGGGGGTGTGGGTGTGTGTGTGTGTGTGTAAAAATTCACTGTCATCTCCAGAAGGTGCATCTTTGGGGTTTTTTGTTCTTAATACTACTCTTTTTAACTATTTCACTAGGACAGATTCCCAGCAGCAGTTCTGTCAAGTCAAAGGAAATGAGTAGTTTTGGCTCCTGGTTATGTATTATAATGGTTATAATCAATTTACAGTGTTACTCTCCACATGGTGGGCCAAATAGGAACTTTGGAATCATTTGTAAGATTCAAAAAAGAAAAATTATTGGGATTTTGATTAGAATAATTTTATTTTGAAATTATCAGAACAATGTTTATATCATGCTTATGCTATTTTACATGATTTCACTGAATATTTAATAACTAAATTTATTTTTAACAGATTGATGAACTCCCAGAGGGAGCTGTGAAGCCCCCAGCAAACAAGTATCCTATCTTCTTTTTTGGCACCCATGAAACGTAAGTCAGCAAAACAACTTAAAACTTCAGCAACTCTAATTTGACTCTACTAGACTACGATGTTTATACCTGTTCTACGACATTTTATATGTTATATAAAGGATCACAATTATATAAAAGGATCACAATTGTATAAAATTACCAAGCTTAATAATGTATTTTTCTTTTTTCTTTTTTTTTTAAAGATTTTATTTATTTATTTGACAGAGATCACAAGTAGGCAGAGAGGCAGGCAGAGGGAGAGGGGGAAGCAGGCTCCCGGCTGAGCAGAGAGCCCGATGCACGGCTCGATCCCAGGACCCTGAGATCATGACCTGAGCCGAAGGCAGAGGCTTAACCCACTGAGCCATCCAGGCGCCCCAATAATGTATTTTTCTTAATGTGAAGATTTTTCATTGATTTTGCTTTCGAATGTTATTTCTGTGTAAATATTGGACATCACCCAGAATCTCCTTTAGGACACTTTTAAGTCCTAAGGTATCTCCTTACCACTCCCAGTAAATTTCTTCTGTTGCTCTTGTACATTTCCTTTTAGAGAAACTTCATCCATTTCTATATTGTACAACAAAGTTATGTTGTCTCAGGCTCTTTCATTTTGTTGAACCCTAAAGCAAACATACCACCTTAATAAGGTTTTTAAATTGCATTGGTTAGAATACAGGCTAAACTGCTAAATAAAGGAACCTCAAAATACAGTGTCTCAAATAATACAGAAAATTCTTTCTCTGAAACAATCCAGAGAGAGGCAGGTAGCTGGAGGTGAGTAGACTACTACTGTGCTCTAGGGACCAAGGTTCCTTCTGTCACATTGTCCTATCGTTGCCTGGAGTGTTGCTCCTTTCTGCTTATTTAAAAACAAACAAAGGAAACAGGGCTTAGCAGCATCTCTGCGTCTTACAGGGAAGGGGAAGGGAAAGAGAGAACATGAAGAACAGGCAACTTCTTTGTAAGGAAATGACAGGAAAGTTGCATATATCACATACACTTGCATTCAGTGCAGTGGCACAGACTGGGTCACGTGGCCACGTGTTGCTGTCAGGAATTGGGAAATTGGCCACCAGCTGGGCAACTCTTAATGGGGAAATAATTGGAAGGAGTAATCCCTTAATAAAAAGAAAGAAGACAGTAGATACTAGGAGACAGTTGGCAGTCTTGACACAATGGAAATATTTGTGGTCCGTCAGAGCAAGGACATAATGGAGTAGGAACTGCAGATGTGGAGGAAAGCTAAACACTGTCCTCTTACAGACTTCAGGTTCAGGGCCCTCCCTTGTGTTCATTTGAAGTAGTAGAGCCAGGCGCGAACTTCTTAGCTTGCGGTCTCTGCCGCTCTGACATCTTCATTCTTACCTGGAAAGAGCTAGACACGGGGCGCCTGGGTGGCTCAGCTGGTTGAGCGTCTGACTTGATTTCAGCTGGGTCACGATCTCAGGGTCGTGAGATCGAGCCCTGCATCGGGCTCTGTGCTCGCCGTGGAGTCTGCTAGAGATTCTCTCTCTCCATCTCCCTCTGTCCCTCCCCGAACTCATGCTCCCTCTCTCTCTCTCTCAATAAAAATAAATAAAATCTTTTAAAAAATCAAAACAAAAATAAAAAAAAGAGAGCTAGCTAGGAGACCGAAGGCCCGTAAGACATATTTATTTCCTGGCTTCATGTGAGACATAGTTTTGTTTCTTTCAGAAAGTTGGTTTTATTTTCTTTTGTTTTTATCTAAAAAACACTGTGTAGGGGCGCCTGGGTGGCTCAGTCATTAGGCGTCTGCCTTTGGCTCAGGTCATGATCTCAGGGTCCTGGGATTGAGCCCCACACTGGGCTCCCTGCTCAGTGAGGATATGCTTCCCCCTCTTTCTCTGCCTGCCTCTCTGCCTACTTGTGATCTCTGTGTGTCAAATAAATAAATAAAATCTTAAAAAAAAAGACACTGTGCACATACTATGCACCAGTACCATGTTTTCTTCCATAGAGGTTGCTAGAAAGTTTAGAGATTAATGTTTTACCTATAATAAGTGCAAAGGGCTTTATGATACATATTTTTCTATTTGCTCCATTCCTGTCTCCAGTTTACATCTATACCATTACTGTGCTTTTTCTCTAGGACCTATTTCCAAATGATTGTATTGTATCCCTGGGACCAGGCAGGCATTAATAAAAAAGATTATCACATTTCCACCATATAGGACAAATCAACCATTTACTGACATTATGTGGTCACTTTTATTTACTTAGTAAACATTTTCTAGGCATTCCTTAATGCACTGTAGAACGAAGAGCTTGCCACCTGGTGTATTGCTGGTGAATGTAATAGGATCGTTCCAGTGAACAGTGTGAAGGGTTTCACAGCGCTGTTCTTTACAGCATCCCTAATGGAAGCCAGTGGCATCATTCCAGGCCTCAGTTCAGTGAACGTGGTTCTGCTACCAAGAAGTATCACACAATCCATATGTGAGTTTTTTGCTGGTTTGATCATCCAGAGGTAGATTTTTAAACGTCTAGAGGAAAATGAACTCACAAAACCAGCAGTGAGTTCAAGTTTCAGCAGACTGTGTATTAGGTATTAGGTGCCCCGAGCCTGAGGCTGTATGCCTGGCACATATCCAGTGTTCAGCCTCTCTGCGGAGGCGGAGATGGTGTGGGGGTGGCTTACTCCCGTGGGCACAGTGCCCAGCACAGTGCCTGGCCAATGGTCAGTGTTTAAAATAATCGCTGTTGGGTGAAATTAAAATAAAAAGACATAAAAGAAAGAGGGAAAAGTATAGGAAAGGTGAGGAACTTCACAAGAAAGCTGTGTGCTGGTCAGCCAGAGGAGCACCCCCAAGCAGACTAGAGGTTTCCTCAGAACATCGCCTTGAATTTATTCTGGTGCCCAGACAGGTCGTTGAAGCCCCCAGTCTCCGCCGTGTAACAGCCCAGCAGGTTTAGTTCAGACACTTCTCAAGGTGCCTTAGCCTGGAGGGAAACCATCCGCAGAGCATGGAGCTGCGAACGGTTTTGTTTCCTGGCCCACACTTTAAGACTTGTGAAACATGCGGGGTCGCTAACCAGTTGGGAGAAAATTCTATGTGCGGAATTATCTTTCTGTAATCTAGGAGAAAACAAGGTTGTGTGTCAAAAATACGTTGTTTTAAGACAGTTCCTTCAGGGCTCTTGTTTCTGGCCACAGCTGTGATGGCCACTGGAACCATGAGCCCTGCCTCAGAAAAGCACAGGCAGGCTCTGGTTAGCAGCAGCAGCTCATGGGCCCTCGGCAGCCTTGCCCACGGCTAATTCCTATACTTGGAGTCCGTTGCTGGAGGAAGGTCAAAACCATAGTTGAATAAGGCCTGACAAACTTCTCAGAAAGACGGGCATGGCTAAAGTCCATTTCTTTTCTCATGTTCCATTTGTCACACAAGGCTGTGACATGACTTTGATTAAAATGTCCAGTAACCCAATAAGTTATGTCTGGATTCAGTGAGATAGAATCATGTTGACCAAGCAATTAAAGGTCAAGGGAGTTGGTGGTTGGGGCAGAAAACTTCCCCAGATATTTTTTTTTTTTTTTTTTTTTAATTTTTTTTTTTTATTTATTTGACAGACACAGCGAGAGAGGGAACACAAGCAGGGAGAGTGGGAGGGGGAGAAGCAGGCTCTCTGCTGAGCAGGGAGCCCGATGTGGGACTCGATCCCAGGACTCTGGGATCTTGACCTGAGCCGAAGGCAGAGGCTTTAACCCACTGAGCCACCCAGGTGCCCCTCCCCAGATATTTTTGTCAAATTAAAGTTTTTGATCAGCTAGGCAATGAGGAAATCAGTACTAAGACCCAGTCAGAAAATGGAATGTGTGTGTGTGTGTGTGTGTGTGTACATATACATACATACATATATATGTATATGTATGTATGTATAAAATACATATATTTTGGTGGGAAACAAAGTTTTTTGAGCAATGGCATCAAGCGATAGTACAAAGCTCCTGATGAGGGAGGGCACCCGAGAAGATGGCCCAGAAAATGGAATTGATAAAGATGGACAGTACACTGTTACCTCACCTCTCAGAGCTTTGATATCTCCAGCTCAGACCTTTCCTCTGAGTTCCAGAATCACATCTCCAGCTGCCTACTTGACTTCCTCACTTGGATGTCAAACCAGGGTTTTAAACTTAACATCTCAAACTGAGCTTTTCACCTTCAAGTCTTGTTCTCTCAAAGATCTTTCAATTCGGTAAATGCCACTCTGTTCTCATTTCCCAGCCTGGCACCTTGGAGACAGCCTCACCTCCTTCCTTTCTCTCACATGGCGTCTCCAGCCCAGTAACAGTCACGTCGGCTCTTTCACGGGCATGAGTTCAGGGTCCAGCAGCCCCTCGCCCACTGTACCCTGCACACCCTGGCCCGAGTCACTGTCATCACTCTGGGGGACTGATGGGTCCCCCTGCTTCTATCCTAGTGCCCACTTCTTCGGTCTCTCTTCAGCTCAGCAGCCAGAATGATCCTATTAAGACACAAATCGTCACGTGTCTTCTCAGACCTTTCATGGTTGCTCATCTGACTCTGAGGCTCGATAGCGGCCTTCAAGGCCCCACGTACTCTGTACCCCCAGCTGGTCCCCTCTCGGACCTCCTCTCACCCTGCTCTCACTCTAGCCACGCCGGCCTCTTCATTTCCTCAGCACAGTAGGCATTCCCACCTCGGGGCCTGTCGTACTCACTCTTCCTTAAATGTGCCCCTGGCCCCGGAATACTGCCCGGCCTGCCTCCTCACCTCCCGGGCCAGGGAGGCCTTCTGCGATCTGTGGATCTGAAGCGACCACATGGCACCCCCAGCCTTGCCATCCCCCTTCTCTGCATTCTCTATGTTGGCACGCGGCACTGTGCTTTCTGCTCTCTGTCTGTGCAAACCCTGCTCGCCCTCCTAGCACGTGTGCTCTTTGAGCGCAGAGGTGCTCCTCCGCTCGTCCGCACAGAATCCACAGCACGGCAGCAGGGCCTGACCCTTCACGGGTGTTCACTCAGGTCTGTCGGACGGAAGGTTCTCTGAATCTCAGTTTGAAATGTAAGCTTCTTGGGTGTCCGCCAGGATGTGGGCCTCTCCCGTCTCATTTACCAGCTTGATATGTTGCAGGTGATACTGAAGACTCTGGTCTGAATGCTCAGATCTCTTAGCCGGCCCCAGGATTTATTCAAACTCATTTTCTTTCTCTGGTTATGATTAAATTAGGATAAAGCTTAAGGGGCGCCTGGGTGGCTCAGTGGGTTAAAACCTCTGCTTTCAGCTTGGGTCATGACCCCAGGATCCTGGGATCGAGCCCCCCATCTGGCTCTCTGCTCAGCAAGGAGCCTGCTTCCTCCTCTTTCTGCCTGCCTCTATGCCTACTTGTGATCTCGGTCTGTCAAATAAATTAATTAATTAAAAAAAAAAGCTTAAATTGCATAGCATTCTGTGTTTGCTACATCTGAGTTTTTTCTTGTTTGTGCCTCATTAATCACTGAAATGATTTTTTAATTTATCGAAATAATAGTGAATAAATATACTAATGTGATATATAGAGTTAAAGTCACTTTTTATAACCAGTGTTTGTATTTTACTGTAAATCTCACAAAACCCTTACCTATGGAAGATTAACATAAATAAGTCTTAGTTTAAGGTGATGATATAAGTGGTCATCTTTAAAATTACGTGTGTAACCGTAAGTTTTAAAACAAAAAATAAATTGCTAATTTAAAAGTAAAATCCAAGTTACATGGTCTAGAATTGCTGGCTTATATAGCCGGCCATTTTTTTCTGCCTAGAAGTATATTTATAAACTTTTTAAGATTGTATTTATTAGAGAGAGAGCAAGAGTACGAGCCGGGGGCGGGGGGTGCCACAGAGAGAGAGAGAGAGAGAGATTGAGGAGGAAGCAGACTCCCTGCTGAGTGTATGAGCCCAATATGGGGCTGCGTCCCAGGACTCTGAGATCATGACCTGAGCCGAAGTCAGACACTTAACCGACTGAGCCACCCAGGCACCTTATATATTTATATATTTATATGTAAACTGTTTTATGATATGTGCCCAACTCAGAGGGTTTATGTATACTTTTAATTTGTTTACTAAAATATACTGTGACACCTTAGTTGATAGTGATATTTAAAATAGTTTGTATTTGAAGGTCAAAGTATCAATTTTATTTCTAATCTATCTCTACAGTGCATTTTTAGGTCCAAAAGACCTTTTTCCATATAAGGAATACAAAGACAAGTTTGGAAAGTCAAACAAGCGGAAAGGATTTAATGAAGGATTGTGGGAAATAGAGAATAACCCAGGAGTGAAGTTTACTGGGTACCAGGTAATGATTTGCTTCATTGTTAGATCTCATTTCTTTGGTTTTTAACTCTCTTTGGGGTCTTTCTTACATGTCCTTTGTACTGGTAGTTACCCTCCATCTATTTGAAATCAGAATTCTTTTTAGCTCCAGTAACGTTTTGGATTAAATATAATTCTGTTACCCAAGAGGGTTCAAGTCAAGTGGTCATGGAAAAATTGAAGTTGACAGTCCTTTATTTTGAAAATCTTAAAAGTAAGCTGAACCTTTCAGGTTAAAATAGAACGATTCTTTTCACAGTCTGTATTCTTTACTATTTTTTCAAAAATGTAATTAGCCAGTATCTTGCTATTTCTTAGGCAATTCAGCAGCAGAGCTCCTCAGAAACTGAGGGAGAAGGCGGGAACACTGCAGACGCAAGCAGTGAGGAGGAAGGCGATAGAGTAGAAGAAGATGGAAAAGGCAAAAGAAAGAATGAAAAAGCAGGCTCAAAACGGAAAAAGTCCTACACTTCAAAGGTGACTGAGAACCTTTTCCATTGTTATTAATGTTATGTGCATGTTCTTTAAGGTTTTAGATGATTCTTAATTCATTCCTTGCGTGCAGGGAGGTATCCTAGCTCTGTGGACCTCTGCCTCCAGAGACAGTAAGATAGCCAAGGGGAATAGGACAGGTAACCTTAGACGTGAGGGCATCTTCAGGGCTGATCTGGCACTGAAAATACCGCTTCTCAGTTAAGTTAGAGAAGGACTGTTCTTTCGTCAAGGGTACAGTAGTAGGTATGCCTCCTATAGGAACCTCCAGATGAACTTGGAAGAATTTAGGAATATAGGAGACCCGGTACCATTCACAACACGTCTATGTAAAGAGAAAGATCTACTCCTAACCTGTCTTTCTGCTTTAAAGACTGTCCAAATAATAAATATAAATCATGAGGGGGTCTGAAGGCAGTGAGTGGGAAGAGCATGTAGTTCAGATAGAGTGGCCAGGCTTTTCTGAAGAGGCAAAGTTCATGCCGAGGCCTGAAGGAAGAAGAGAGGAGGAGGGCTGGATGGGGCAGAGCAGCTAAAATCTTGAGGCAGCACGTGTCTGGCATGTCCTGAATTGAAGGAAGGCGAGCGAGGCTGGAACATCGTGACCAAGAGGGAGAGAGGCAGGCAAAGGCTCAGTGATTGAGCCTTTGAAAGAATTTGGCTTTATTCCCAATGTAATGATCGTTTATTGAAGGCTTTAAACAGAGGAGTGACATGATCTTACATATACACACTGAAAGTCTAGGTTTTTCATACAGTAATTTAGACATGCAGTTGAACAAACTATGAGATTGTAAAAATTGTTCACCTTTAGAAACTGGAAAGCAAGATAAATACGTCTTTGAAGACCAGAGATTGGTACAGGTTTCACTGTAATTGTTCTTTCACATGATTGACTACTTGGATAAATTATTTCCCTTTAGATTCTGGTATTTAGTGGCTGGCCAGACTTAGGCAGCTCCTTCAAAACCAAGTACCAGGAACTGATTGGATTATCAGCATTTTATTTTACCATCTATAAAGTCCACCCAGCTAGCATACAGGTGGAACTGTGTGATCACGTATTACTTCCTGCGTACCTAATGAGAAACATGGTATCTGCCTTGAATGGGGATAAAGTTTGCAAATCACAACAAAATAATTAGAATTTTTCTTGTCAGACTGTATCTTCCATTGCATTTTTTAAAAGATGGTTTTGTTTTGTTTGTTTGTTGTTTAGTATTTTGGATTTCACTTAAATACCCAATTCGGTTGATATTTTAAATTTATGATTGCCTGCTGAGCTGTGTGATGTGTTGTACCCTTCTAAATTACGTAAGCTACCTGAGGTATCTGAGGCATTTGTTAGTGTGGATATGTGGCTTTTCGGTGTCATTATTTCCTCATTCATTATGAAGACCAGAAGTCATGGGGCTCAGACCTGATGTGGATATATAATTTCAAAGCAGTGAAGGGGTAAAGACATACTTTACTTACTAAGGTTTACCTATTTTAGATTAAGGAATCATCCTTTTCTTCCAAAGATCACAAATTCCATGATCACTAAAGAACCATGATTTTTAGATTTGACTTTTTACTATTTTATTTATTGTCAAGATAAATTATGCACAAACACAAAAATTTTGAAAGCTCATAAATGATTTTTAATTTTTAGTATTGACTGAGAAACTTAGCACAGTGGTTCTCAAAATTGCACACGCATCAGAATTACCTGGAGGGCTTATTAAAAACACACATTGCTAAGCCACTGCCTAAATTTCTGTTTGAGTAGGTCTTGGGTGTGTGGGTCTGAGAATTAAATTTTCAGTTAAGGCTGGTGCTGCTGATCTGGGAACCACATGTAGAGAAGCACTTTCCTGACATAATCTCCTTTCGCCTTGACTTCCCAAATGTTTCCTTTTTGTTGAGTATGGTTATCTTTTTTTACACCTTCTTCTTAAGGTTGAGTATCTTTCTTTGCCACTGAAAACCAGTGGTTCACAAACTTTTAACTGCATCTCAGTCAGCAAGCAGATTTGAAGGAAGTTATGTGTCTATCTCTTCGGCAGTAAGTATATGAATGATTCCTATCTGAGCCATGACAGGTGCTGGTCAGAATATTTTACACACACGTTATTTACTGTATAAAGTGGGGCAGGTCAGAGAGCCTCACAACACTGGTGATGATGCTAACTCCACTAGTCATCTTAGTTAAAAAAACAAAGGTGGCAAGAGTTGGACCCCCAACCAATTCAAGACTATAGTGCTGAAACAGTTGGAGGGTCCTTCCCCGGAATTACAAGAATTGCCATGATCAGAGTTTGCTAAGAGCTTTGCAGCATTACCAAATCTAGCTGGGCAGCCAGATTTCTTCGAGTACTGAATGTGACCCTTGAGCAGAACTTCTGTACTATCCTAATTCTGGTCCTTGTGCCAAACGATAGCACTTACAATTTCACGGTGGGGTTGCTCGTTAGGATCGTTGGTAAGCATTGTGAACTTTAGGGAGTTGTGTGTTACTACCTCGAAGAACTGTAGGCCAGAAACCATTACTTGAGAATTACTACCTAAAGCAGTTACTACATTTCAGTAACTATACTGTATTTACTAGGAAAACAAAAAGTAGTTTGCTTTTTGTATTGTCATACTTGATCTTAGCTTTACCTGTAGACACTCCACATTTGGATTATTAAACCTCTGCTTTTCCTTACTGTAAAAAGTAAAGATGACCTCATTTTAAACTGACATTTGGGCTTGGTTGGTGGTTTCAGTTAAGTAAAATAGAAGCAGTGTAATTACATGCTCCATCACGTAGCTAGAAGATTTTTCTCTTTGGAAGTTGGGTTTAAAATATTGATTGTCTGAGGAAGCTCCAATTTGCTAATTATTTCTGGAAGACTGAAAGTGACATGGCTAAATCAGTTTTGCCTCAGCTCTTATTTGCCGTGTGCTTAAAGATTCTTAAAATTCTGGAGAGGACATGTTAGTGAAATGGTTAAAAAAAAAAAAAGTAAAAACTTTCTTAAAGGTGCACAGCGGGGCCAGCTTTTGATCATTTTAATGCTTTCTGCAAAACAGCTCTGGCTGTAAACTAGAACTGTATTTTCATCTTCCTTGGAGTTCATCTTGATTTCAAAGGCAAGGTGATAAGAAAAAAGGGCTCGTTCCCTCGGGCTCTTCAATAATCATCCCTAATTTAAAAAGATTAAAGTTAGTTTCTATCACAGGGTGATATAAATGTTTTCTGCTCTTAACCAGGCAGCTTCAACAGGTGTCCTAACATGAATATTCATCTATTATCTTAGCTAGTTCAGCTCACTCTCCTGAGACCTGAGTTTCTGCTGTGAAATTCGGGGAAGCCTTCTAGCCCAGTAGCCCCCAAAGGTGGCGCCGGGCTGTCCATCTGGCTGTCATTCATCCTTTGGCAGTGCCCCGGGGACATGAATCTTTCTTTTCTGCTTTTACCATTGCACTGCTGGAAAGAACGAACAAGTCATCGAGTGCACCTGTACCTCCTTTTCCAGCTGGTTACACTGAGGCCCAGTGAGGTGACACGGTGTGTCCCAGGTCACCTGGCCCAGCCTCGGCACCGCACTGTGGTGCTGGTATGTCCTGTAGTGAGTCCCATGATTGGATGTAAGTCAGCCACTTCTGTGTTTCTTACCTACACTTGTGCATTGGAGTTGTGCTTTTGACTATAATTTTTAACTTGTCCAAACGTTTAGAAATCCTCTAAACAGTCCCGGAAATCTCCAGGAGATGAAGATGACAAGGACTGCAAAGAAGAGGAAAACAAAAGCAGCTCTGAGGGCGGAGACGCCGGCAATGACACAAGGAACACGACTTCAGACTTGCAGAAAACCAGTGAAGGGGTAAGGACGGCGCGTGGTCTCGTGCTTCTTCTACCTAGAAGACCGGGTGCTTCGGAGCTGCCGGCGGCAAGCCCTGTCCCCGTAGACGAGTGGACGCAGGGGGCCAGCAGCCTCCGGGGGGGTCCCACACTGCTCCTGGGTGCATAACGATCCAGAGCTCAAGAGGGCGGGGGTCTACACCTGCCTCTCAGTTTGGACTCTAGGAACAGGTCTATTCTTTTTTAAACTAACTGCCGCAACTTGATAGTCTTTTAAAAAGGAAGGTGGGCAATATTGAAATCATGAAATGCCACCTTAAAATTTTATAATTATATTTCTTTTATTATAAGACGGCACGTGCACAATAGGGGATTTCATACTACAGCTTCTTTCCTAGGAGTTTGGACTTTAATGTCCCCATGGGGACTTTAAATATTTAAGTATTCCAATAATACGTGAAGACTGGTATTTAAAGTACGGAAGGGGAAGACTTGTCCACTTTAAATTTTGTTAACTCTGTCTTAAGGTGTAGGTGACGTACAATAGCATATGACTTTCAGGTACACAACAGTGAGCCCACACTGCCAGACGGTACTAAATGCTCACGTGATAGTCTGGTTCCATCCATCATCATACCCAGTTACGCCAACATTACCGTCCCCGTTCCCCATGCTGCCCTTTGCATCCCTGTGACTGACTTGCTGTATGATGGAAGTTGGTACCTCTCTGTCCCCTTCATCTGGTTCAACATCTCACCCACTCCGCTGGTGGTAACCAAAGTCTGTCTCCTGTATCTGGGACTCGGAGTTTTGTTTTGTTTTGTAGATTCCATGGACAAATGAAATCGGATGGTATTTGTCTCTTTGTTTGACTTGTTTCACTTAACATGGCACCCTCTAGGTTGTCCACGTTGTCACAGATGGCGAGCTCCCATTCCTTTTACAGCTCAGTAACCGTCCATTGTACACGGACACCACGTCTTTATCCACTTACCTGTCGCTGGATGCGTGGGTTGCTTCCGTACCGTGGCTGCTGTAAATAGTGCAGCGGCGAACAGAGCGGTGCATAGATCTCTTGACATTGGTGTTTTCATTTTCTTCAGATAAATACCCACGAGTGGAATTGCCAGTATTTCTCACCTTTTAAGGACCCTCCCTGCTATTTTCCACGGTGGCCGCACCAGTCTGTAAGCACTCCCTCCAGCAGTGCGCCGCGGTTTCCGTTTTTCCACATCCTTGCCAGCACTCGTTACCTCTTACTTTTGGATTCCAGCCGTGCTGACAGGTCCGAAGTGATAGCTCACTGTGGTTTTGACATGTGCTTCCCTGGATGAGAGGTGGTGAGCATTTTTTCATGTGTCTGTTGGCCATGTGGATGTCTTCAATCTTAACTTCTGTTAACCTCTATTAATTTAAAAGTGTTAGTGAAGGCACATTTTGCCCCTGGTCATTTTCTGTTAGTCTTTTCTCTGTGAAGACGAATGGGACAGTGGCAAATCATTTTGAAACAGTAATCCACAAAATACATTGCTATTGTTGTTCTGTGAGGTTCTGGTTTCAGCTGAGTGCTGGGCCATTCTTGTCAGTACCGTTGACCTCTCAACAGCTCCTTCCTGCCGTTACCCAGAGTCACTCCCCAGTTGTGATTCTCGTTCACTCATCCCTCTTAGCCACTCAGCTTTACTCTGTCCTCTGCGTATCGTTCTTCCCTTGACCACTTTCCAGTAACAAGTCCTCTGTCGTTAAACCTTTGCGAGTAGTGCTCCTGGGAACAGTCCTGTTAACAGGCACCAAAGGCTTGAGTACCTGACTCGTTTGATTTTCTCTTTATCGCACCTGCCGTCTTCGTCCCAGCTGGCTTCAGTACGCACACAGCAAAACCCTCGCAACTCGTCTCCCTTTATGGTCTCCCTTCTGTCTGCTCGTCTGTGCCAGCGGAAGCGGTGACTCCACCCGTATTGCTCAGAGTGGTCGGTGGCAGGCAGCATCAGTGCCACCGGCGGGCCTGTTAGAGGTACAGAGTCCCAGGCCCGCCCCCAGGCTGTGCGAATCATTTTAACTAACCCCCAGGTCACTCACGCGCACGTGGAAGTCTGAGAAGCATTATTCTGCACCTGTCTGTTCCCACGGTCCCGAGTTGTGTCTCCTTCTCCTCCTTTCTCCAAGGCCTCACCCAGTCAGTGGTCACCTATCACCCTGGACGTTTATCTTCTTTTCCCTCTGCCTAGAAACAGTGTTAGGCGTCCCTCCCCGCATGTATCCTACTCTCCCCACTCTTCTCCTCATCTCTAAACTTCCAGATCAAGTTTCTTGGCTCCAGTGTCCGGTCCTCACCCTCTCCTGCCTTCCTCCAGGCGTTCGTGTTGCTTCATCCCCATTGACAGAAATCGCTCTTGTAAAGGTCCATGGCGGTTCTCTCGTTGCCAGATGCAGGGTCAGAGTCGTCGTTAGTTTTTATTTTCTCTGTGCAGCATTTAAAGCCACTAGCCACCGTCCCTCCTGACTTTGCCTCCAGGTCACCAGCCTCTCCTGCTCCTGCATCAGTTCCTTCCCAGAGCCCCTTCCTTCCGTCTGTCTTGGTGTCCTGCTGTTCGGAAAGCTTCCCCTGTGTTCATCTGCTCCCCGCTCCTGGTTTCAACCATTATGTATTACTGGTGACTTCCCACCCTGTATCTCCTGCATTGTAGATCCATTTTCCTAATGGTTCATGAAACCATTTCAACTCAGATGTCTTGAAAGCACTTCAGAAAATACTTGCTGTTAGAAGTAGCAGCGGCAGACTCGGGAGTAGTGATGGCTGACATCTTACTCTGTGCCATAGACTGCTCAGTGCTATCTGTGCGTTGTCTCACTTGATTCTGCACAAATCCCAGGATGTATCATCTCCATTTGTACCTGGGGAAACTCAGGCTGGAGAGACTGGCCCAGGGTCACATAGCTGGTGAGAGCCTGATTGTAAAGAAGGAGCCTGAGATCCGTTCATTTATTCATTCAGTTTTTGTTTAAGTTGAAGCACAGCTGACACGTTACAGTAGTTTCCGGTGTACAACATGGTGATTTGACAGGTCTGTACTTGCGCTGTGCTCACCACGAATGTAACCACTACCCGTCAACACACAGCACCAGTACGGTACCATTCACTGTATTCTCTCTGCTGTACCTTGTCCCATACTCATTCATTCCAGAACTAGAAGCCTGGACAAAATGGGCCCGTTTTGCCCATCCCCTGGCCCTTCTCCTCGTGGCAGCTGTCCGTTTGTTCTCTGTCTTTATGGGTCTGCTTCTGTTTAGATCCCACATAGAAGTGAAATCATACGCTATTTGTCTTTCTTTGTCTCACTTAATTCACTTAGCATAATCCTCACTAGGTCCACGCGTGTTGTCACAAATGGCAAGATCGCCTTCCTTTTATGGCTCAGTCAGCTTCCATTGATACCGCATCTTTATCTGTTCATCTATGGATGGACACTTAGTTTGTTCCCACAACTTGGCTTTCATAAATAATGCTGCAGTATACATAAGAGTGCATAGATCTTTATTTTTTTTTAAGATTTATTTATGTATTTATTTGAGAGCGAGAGTAGGGGGCTGGGGAGTGCGGAAGGAGAGAGCAAGAGAGAAACCTCAAACAGACTCTCCCTGCTGAGCGCGGAGCCTCGCGTGGGGCTTGATCCCAGGACACTGAGGTCATGACCTGAGCAGAAATCAAGAGTTGGCCATTTAACTGACTGAGCCACTCAGGCACCCCCATATATCTTTTTGAATTAGTGTCTTTATTTTAGTAGAATTACTGGATCATGTGGTAGTTCTACTGTTAATTTTTTAAGGAACCTCCGACTGTTTTCCACAAGGGCTGCACCAGTTTACATTCCCACCAGCAGTGCATAATGGTTCCTTTTTCTCCACATTTTTGCCAACACCTGTTGTTTCTTGTCCTTTTGATATCACCATTCTGACCAGTCTGAGACCATCTCCTTGTGGTTTTGATTTGCATTTCTCTGATGAATAGTGATGCTGAATATTTTTTCATGTGTCTGTTGGCCATCTGGATGTCTTTGGAAAAATGTCTATTGAGGTCCTCTGCCCATTTTTTAATAGGAGTATTTGGTTTTTCTGGTTTTGAGTTGTATGAGTTCTATATATATATTGGATGTTGAGTTGTAGGAGACAGATATAGATATAGATATATGTATATTAACCTCTTATCAGATACATCATTTGCAGGTATCTTCTCCCGATCCATAGGTTCCCTGTTATTTTGTTGATGGCTTCCTTTGCTGTACAAAAGCTTTTTATTTTGGTGAAGTGTCAGTGGTTTATTTTTGCTTTTGTTTCCTTTTTCTAAGGAGACACATCTAGAAAAATGTTAAGCCTCATGTCCAAGATGACTGCCTAGGCTTTCTTTTAGGGGTTTTATGGTTTCAGGTCTCAAATCTAGGTCTTTAATCCATTTTGAGTTTATTTATGTGTATAGTGTAAGAATGTGGTCCACGTTCACTCTTTTGCATGGAGCTGTGCGGTTTTCCCAGCACCATTTATTGAGACTGTCTTTTCACCATTGTACATTCTTGCCTCCTTTGTCAAAGATTAACTGACCATGTAAGTATGGGTTGATTTTTGGTCTTTCTTTTCTGTTCCATTGATACATATATATTTCTGTTTGTGCCAGCATCATACTCTTTGATTAATGTAGCTTTGTAGTATATCTTGAAGTCTGGGATCGTGATACCTCCAGCATTGTTCTTCTTTCTCAAGATGGCCTTGGCTATTTGGGATCTTCTGTGGTTCAGTACAGATTTTAGTAGTTATTTGTGCTAGTTCTGTGAAAAATGTTTTGGTAATGTGATGGGGAATGCATTGCATCTGTGGATTGCTCTGGGTAGTATGGACATTTTGAGAATATTTGTTCTTCCAGTCAATGAGATGGAATATCTTTCTGTTGATGTCATCTTCAATTTCTTTCATCAGTGATTTATTGTTTTCAGAGTACAGGTCTGTCAGGAACTTGGTTAAGTTTCTTCC